AGATAGCCAGTGATTAAATTGCCCATCCCTATCAAACCAGTACTCTGAGGAGACAAGCATGTTCTTTGGTCTTAAAGAATCTTCTATTCTGGTTGGAACTTTTGAGCATCTACATCCATAAGCAAAGTCCAGTCCAGAGCAAGCCATCAAATTGTGGCAATCTACACCACCTCATTGTGTCAAACATCTTTCTCTTCATTCGATCGGGTTCTGGTCAGCTCATCCCTAGCCATCCAAGCTAGGTCACGATGGATAGCAGCCTCAGGCTCAAGAGTTCACGCACACCTCCTGGCACTTCAGCCAGCCTCTTCACATTCTCATCCCTAGCCCCCTTGGGCTAGGTCGGCGGGTTCTACCCGTAAACTTAGGGGTCCATACACAAATCCCGTTACTTCTGACCAGCCAGCCCTTCCTCTCTCATCCCTAGCCTGTGGGCTACATCAACTGGTGCCAATGGAACATGTCCAAACTCAGCCCATCATCTCTTCACTGTTGCACTTTTGGACATGTTATCAATCAGGAGGGACCAGTCCCTGGCAAAGGACATCGTGCTTGGTAAAATGGAGGGTCAGCAAAAAAAGAGGAAGACCCTCAATAAGACGAATTGATATGGTGGCTACAACGATGGGCTCTACCATGACAACAATTGTGAGCATGGGTGAGGACGGCACAGAACTGGGTGTTGTTTCATTCTGTTGTACGTGGGGTCACTATGAGTCGGAACCAACTCCACAGCACCTAACAGCACCACCCCTGAAAGGAGAGGAGAGGAGCAGCCTTTACTGAAAACTGGGAAATTGTGTGGAGCCAGCCAACTTAAGAGGAGCAGTGACCTCCCATGGAGGGGTCCAGCCTGCTTGAGGCAGCCTCACAAGCAAGGATCCAGGGAAATAAAACTCTGACCTCTCATCACCACTTCTGATCTCCTGATGAAGCTCCCCTTTGGCCAAAACTAACTGGAAGCTGGAGCATGGAGAAACTATACTGATGTAGTCCTCACAAGTCAGCATTCTAGTACAAAGGGGAGATAGATGGATAGGGAATGGATCCAAGTGGGGCAAATGAAAGATAACTGGTACAGAATAAAATCAAAGATAACCCCCTATGCTTTTGGTATGACCAACGAGATGATCTACTGAGATAGGGGCATAGGGACAGGAGACAGGGCATAGATCAAGAATTTTGTTTTACACTAACTAGACAATAGATAGATAAGTGGTAACTTTGGTGAAGGGTAAGACAGTACACAATACTGGGGAAGTCAGCACAACTTAACCA